AAGGAGAGAAGAAGGAAGAGAAAACTTTTTTTTACAACAATAGAGGGGAATAATTAAAGAATGGAACATGAATGGAACATTGCTTGGGATTATCTCACACCATATCCAAAAACATTGAAAGGATTACAATGTTTAGAGTTTACTCATTTTTGAGTTCTTAGTTTTTTTTTTTATTTTTGATAATGGAGATGGAAACTGAAAAATTTCACCGCAAAAACTTAAAATAGAAAATTAGAATGTGTTTGTAGATGGTAATTTTCTTCACAGTTTTGGATAGGATTTACCTTGGTAATTAGAAGTAAATTGTTGAAATTTCCAGAAATATTAATTTTAGGATTCATTAAGGTCTAACATAAGTATACCTAAAATCTATTTATTTTGATAGTCCATTTCACATTTTTGCCTCTTATTATTTCAGTAAGCAGAATATGTTGGCTTCTTCCAAATGGGACGCACATTATTTTTTCACACAAGGAGGTAATTTGATGTCCCAAAACAGAAATGAGGTAAGTAAACTAAATGTATGAAACTTTGTTTACTTTGTTTGTTGAACTGATATTTACAATTAAAAAGATATTATTCAATAATGATATCATCTTATTGGCTATTTCAACTCATCAAATATGAGGAAGAGAGTAATGCTTACAATTTCTAATGACATGATTGCTTCTTTATCAAAAATTCACTGCAAAGGCTATTTAAAGTGAATAGTAAATGTCCATTGCTTTTTATGTGCCCCAGCACATCCTGGCCTAAATGTACAGTTTGGCAAATATATACTGTAAGATATGCACAATGAGGTAACACTAAACCACAGCTATGAGAAATTATAAATATAAAGTTTCATTATAAATGAGGTTTAATATTTGAATATGACATATAATTTGTTGATCTGGTTTCCCCCCAGCTTGCAGGCAGTCTAGTATGTGACTTAAATGAGGAGGGACTACATGTGGAGTCTACTGAATCTGATGACAGAAGATATGTGTTTCAAGTTGTAGCACCAGCTAGCAAAAAGTGTGTTTTTTTATTAAAAAAGAAAAATGTCAAAAAAATTGTTTGAGTTAAACTGAGATTGAGAGAAAGTATATACTAGTACATACATGTATTGTGTTTATGGAATTTGATGCATGTACTAGTATTATATTTGTCTATTTATTATAGAAAAATTAATTATGATAATAATGAAATGATGAAAAAGTGTTATACACATGTACAGTGAACACACTCTTATGGCAGGGTGACAGAAATCTTTCTTTTTCCAAAATTTTTATTTCTTTTCCTTCTAAATACATGTTTTATTTGTTTGTTTTTTTAATGCCCAATCTGTAATGCCATGCGTACTGATTTACAATTCCTTTGTGTTTAGGACAATAATTCTTCAAGCAGAGAATGAAGTGGAAAAAGAAGAGGTGAATAAACGTGTAGATAACATGACATTGTGTACATACATACAGGTTCACGCACACACACACACACACGCACACACACACACACACACACACACACACACACACACACTTGTGTATGGAGTAAATACATATGTGCACACACATTCACACCAGAGAGAGTGACATCTAGTTTCTGCAATTTGCAAGAAAATTAAGTCAAAACTGGGTTTTGCCTTCTGTGCTATATATTATTTTATTGCCAAGTGCAGATTACGTAAATAATTTAGCAATCATTTTAATCAATTAATCAATTATTAGTTTATGAATTAATTTTTTGGCCATTCTAGTGGATACAGACCATAAAGAATATTGCTAAGGAAGGTGGATATGTGAAAGAAAGGGATCCTTCTGAAACCAATAAAAAGGTAGGCAAGACAGTTCAAGTATGTACTATATCCCCTTTTTAATGAAAGCCTTAATTATACTTTGGTTATGTGTTGTACATGTAAGCACATTTTTCTTTAATCTTTATATATGTATACCCAGTGTGTATATTTTTGAAAGTTTTTTTAAACACATTTGCAAAAGGGATTTGAATATTGTTAAAAAAACTTAAAAATTCATAAGTGATCATTATAGGCATTTGGTGTGAAGTTTGCTTTAAGTTACAACATTTCATACAAACAAATGATCATTGCCTTTTGACATAATATTTATTTTTTCAGGAGCGGGCTGAAAGCAAAAGCAGAAGTAGGTCGGCCAGTTCAGATAGTGGCGCTGCCAAGCAGCAGTCTTCCTCATCAGGGTGGGTCATTGTTGAAAAAGTTCAGGGTGCTACCAGGTATTCCAAGAGAAACATGTACTTTGTTTGGAGAGGTCTTTTGTTATTGCTTCTTTAAAAATTTTTGTGATGATTTTATTTTATTTTTCAGACATTTTTTACTGACATTTTACACTAGTATACTGTAGATCTGTTGATGATTATTTCTTTTAAATTAATTCATTTTAAATAATTGTGTTTTAGCTGTACTGTATAAGTAGTTCCTGTTCTTAGATTTCTTTGATTGGTCTCTTACAATGTAGATTGTCTATATAGCTATATAATTTTGATAATATTAAGCCTAGTTAGCTTTAGTCAGCAGTGCTTTTTCCTGTTATAAACTGCTATATACTCAGTAGCTATATAGTTTTGATAATACTATACCCAGTTAGCTTTATAGTCAGCAGTGCTTTTTCCTATTATAAACTGCTAATTAAAAATTAGTTATTGCTTATCACAATAATTAATAAAATAATATATTGTTTGTTTACAGTGATGGTAACTATGATCTTTATCATACTTATATTTAATGACTCATATTGAATGACTTGCATGCCCTATCCTTATAATTATACTGTCATGTTTCATTTGTTTTTGTGATTCATCTTTTTGTTAGTCTGAGTAGCTATAACATAACATATTATTTCGTGTAGAGATACCACACCGCCAGCCACTAAGATAGCGCCCTCTGGTGACCTCGTGCTGAACACGCCCATACAGTTTGACCTTGCTTCACCCACAGATGAGGTCAAGGACATTGGGGTCAAAGAAGGGCCTCAAAAGTAAATAACTTTCACCTTTTACATAATTTTTATGGGAATTTGGC